CCACTCCACGATCACCGTCCCGTTGATCCCCTTGGCAGCCTGCAGCACGGGGCAGAGAGGGTGGCACCCGGCCAGAGGGCCTCCCGGTGGGGCCCCGTGGTGAAAGCTCCCGGGGGTTTTTTGACCCCCGCCGCGGCTGAACCTACCGCGTGCTCCGTGCTGTTGCCCACTGGGAGGTCTGACACGTGGAGGTCGTATCCCGACTGAGAGGGGATGATGGTGCCCGTCGTGAGGTTGAAGCTGAAGAGGACGACATTGCTGGACGACACATGGAGCTTCAGTTCTTCTCCTGACAGCGTCTGAAGAAGCAGCAGGGAGCAGGGATGAGACACGGCTGCGCTGGCTCTCAGCCCGTCCCTCCTGCTGTGGGCAGCCCACACCTGGCCTGAGCCCAGGCACCCTCCCTGGCCATGAGGCAGCTCAGTTCATGGGCAACATGGCACAAAACTACGACGCAGAGAAGGGGGGGATTGCCTCCTTAGAAATAAGGGATGTCAAAGACAACAAGGCGGCCTTCTTCAAGTGTATCGGTAGCAAATAGAAGACTAGGGAAAATGCCAGGCCACTGCTGGATGCGGTGGTGCCCTGGTGACGGAAGATACCAAGAAGGCAGCGTTACTGAATGCCGCCTTCTGCTTCAGTCTTTACTGCTAAGGCTGGCCTTCAGGCATCCCGGTCCCTGGAGGGAAGAGAGAAAGCCTGGGGAAAGGAAGACCTTCCTTTGGTTGAGGAGGATCAGATTAGAGATCATTTAAGCAAAGTGGACACCCACAAATCCATGGGCCCCAATAGGATGCACCCACGAGTGCTGAGGGAGCTGGCAGATGTCATTGCTAAGCCACTCCATCATCTCTGAAAGGTGCTGGAGAACTGGAGAAGTGGGGCTGTGGAGTCTCCTCCTCTGGAGATATTCAAGACCTGCCTGGATGCAGTCCTGTGCAGCCTGCTCTGGGTGACCCTGCTTCAGCAGGGGGGGTTGAACAGGATGGTCCCCAGAGGTCCCTTCCAACCCCGACCATTCTGTGATTCTGTGAAATAGACAAAGCTCAACTGGAGAAGGCTCGGAGCACCCTGACCCAAATGGCTTTTCTGAGGGAGGGTTTGGACTGGAGACCTCCAGCAGTCCGTTCTGACTTAAATTCTTTCTCCTTCCCCAGACTCTATTTCACATTACCACAGTGCCAGCTTTGGCTGGCTCCTGCTCTCCTCTGGGGCTCTGACACTTTGTCCCATGCACCCTCGAGCGGCCACTCATCCCTGCTTGCTTACTTCATTTTCTGTGAAGCCAGAATTCAGAGGGACAAAGAGAGTTTTGGGAGTGGAGTCATCAGACAAATAGGTGAAAAAATCCAGTCCTTCTTCTGTATCATTGGCAAAATCAAGCAACATCTGGAAAAGATGGAAGATCTTCCCCATCAGCACACTGCGGCAGCTCAATGCTGTTACCTTCCCCAGCCCAGGAAACATCCCTCAGCCCTGGAAAGAAAATGCCTCTGGGTTTGCACTCTCCAGCCCGTACGCAGACCAAACCACCACTTCTCCCTGTGACAGCCGATCCCTCCCTCCGCCTGGCTGCTGGCGTACTGAAGAACCAGGAGAACATCGCTTACAGAATAGAAGGTGGAGAAGCGAGCGTCGTCTGCGAGGACATCAGGGAGTTTGCCACTGCACCAGTACCCATCTCCCACGAACCCGTCACGGCAGGTGCAAGTCAGATCTGCAAAGGAACGCCAAGATGGGACTTGACTCGCCAATGGTGGCTACACTGACCACCTCTCCCTTGGCTTCTGGATGCCCCTCAGCATGTTCCCTCCTGGCGTGGGCAAGGGGGCTGTGCCCGCCTCGTGCTCCGAGGGCAGTTTTCTGCCTGCTGCCCCGACACGTCCTTCCTCACAAAACGTGCTCGCACCACTCACCCTTCTCCCGGTAGCAGAAGGCATCCCAGGTCTCGCTCAGGTTGCTTCGGGAGCCGTAGTCCACGATGCCCACTCGGTTAGCCCCACAGCTGGGGTTGGGGTAGGCTGTGGGGTATCCCGCTGTGCCATTGTCCAGCCAACCCACCAAACACAGATGGAATCCCATCTACCAGAGGAAGATGAATGTTAGATTAAAAATGTCTCTGGCCCAGGTTTTCTGCCCTGATGCACATTCCCATTGTGCAGCCTTATGCTGCTTCCCCCAGCACCTAACTGGGGTTGGGCCCCGGCAGAGGTCTCGTCCCACTGTGACTGGCAAGACCCAGCAGCCCTCCTGGTTTCGTGGATGGAGGTGAAGCAACCAGGGCCTGGAAGGTCGCCCACCCACACACCACAGGCTCGCTACTGCTGGACGGCGCCCGGGGAGAAGCACCGCACGTCCCCACCCCACAAGGGGATGGAGGTGGCCCCTGCCCGCCCAACCTCTGCATCCCTGCCCTGACCTGTTGTGCTGCCGAGAGCTGTTGGAAAGTGGCCAGGGAAGCACCTTCCGCGGCACAGGCCTTCTGAGCCTGCTCGTAAGTGAAGTCGTACTTTTTTCGGGGTGACTGCAGGTGAAATACGCCCATAGTCTTATCTGCAAAATACCAAGGCCAGGGAGGATCAATACAGAGTAGAGAGCAAGCAGGCTCCTCGGGGCAGTTGCGTGGGCCCCCGGTGTGAGCACAGACAGCACCGCCCACAGAGGGTCCTCTGTGCCACAGAGGGTGGCGGACCAAGCTACAGAGATGAGTCCCTGGCCCCTTGAGCATCCCACCCACCGGCTCTCCCAAGGGGTGCCCCAGCCAGAAGGTGAGGGATGAGGGAGTGTGACCTCTCCACGGAATATCAGCCCTGGCACTGCGGGGTTGAGCACACTCACCATGAAAGTGCAGGTCAGTGCAAATGGCCTCCCGATGGCACTGCCCGTTGTCTTCCAGGCACCGGTCTGTGGGGGGCACGGCTTCTTCCAGGCACTGGATCCCATCACCAACATAGCCCCGCTTGCACTCGCAGCGCCGCTCGTTCTGCAGCACAAAGGAAGGATGGCATTTGTGTGAGGGCCAACAGGCAGATGCCAGATTGGGATCTTTATATCCCTGTGAAGATGGAGATGAGCCTTCAGAATGCCTCTACAGCCTGCCAGGACCATGACAGAGCTAAGGAAGGCCACATGGCCTCTGTCCTGCCCCCACACCCAACTACACATGAACCAAAAAATGTCACATTGAATCCTAGTGACACAGTTTGAAGAACACCTGGGCTTCAAGGTACGTGGCTCATGATCACTGCATCATGTTCCCAGTCCCATCTTCTGGCCTGCAGTGAGCAGCTCTGGTTCCTCCACAAAAAACAGCCGACATCGTCCTTAAAGGACCATCCTGGAGCCCCCAGAACAGTCCAGAAATGCCACAGCTTATGCACAGCTGACACAGCTTTTGCCCCTTGGACAGAGGAATGGGGAAAAATGGCCTCAGCATAACACCAGTAGGACCACTGCCCCTGCCGGGCAGTAAGGACCTGCAGGATGAGCACAATAGTGAAGGTACCAGAGAGGAGGAGGAGGCCTGGGGACTGCAGTAACAAGGGACACTGTCACATTGCTGTCCTCCCGCAGCCTGAAGCATCCCACGGCAGCCACCTGCACTGTCGTCCCAGGCACGCAGATCTCCCCAGGCCTCGGGGCTGTACTCACCGGCCCGGTGCTGATGCAGTCGGCGTGCTGGCTGCAGTCCCCGTTCCTGCCGTCCGCACACCTGTCTATGGGGTCGCAGACGTAGCCGTCGCCTGTGTACCCGGGAGCACAGGCACAGGAGACGTTCACGCCAGCCTGCGTGCACTGTGCGTGCCTGGCGCACCCCCCGTTGTCCTGGCTGCACATGTCGATCACTACAGAGATAAAAGCGTTAGGTTAACTGAAACACCTTGCTACGTGTCCTGGTGGTCGGTCTGTCTGTCCTGCCGTCACCCCACCGATATGGCCATCCTCGACAGAGCTGCTCAGCAGGTGGTCACCTGTTGTCTTGCCGTGCTCTCCGCTTTCTCCTTGGCTCACCACCCCCGCCCCTCGTGGCTCCCCCCTACCTGTGCACATTCTCCCATCTCCTTCGTAGTGTAGGTTGCATTCGCAGAGGTTGCCGGAGCGGCAGATGGCCTGAGGGTGGCACGGTGGAGAGCAGG